AATTCTAAAATTCATCCAAAATGTTATCATTTATACGTAACGTAGGATACGTTACGCCTAAACAGGTCAAGACGTTTAAATTTAAAAAGACTAAGTAAATGATCGTAGTTTGAAGTCGAAACAAAAAATGGCGGATTGACAGTTGACTGTCAAATTAAAGGCGGGATTATTTTAATAGCCATTAATAGTTTTGTCGCGTGGATTCGATAATTTATTTATTAATGAATCAAATATATGAGATATATTTGCAGTAGTTTCAAACAGATCGGTACAGTAATAATAAATTTGTCAATTTCGATAGTACATGATGGAGTTTTTGGGGTTTTGAAAGTTAAAATAATGCCGGTGAATTATTTTTTAGAATGGAATATTAAGAAGAGACAAAGAGCACATCGAAAACTGAACAAACAGATGTACCTATTACATGATACTTTGTCTGGTGGATGACATAAGACCTCTTTAAAGATTTGTATCGTTCTTGCTACCTTTATGATCTTTCAGACTTGCTTGGGCTACGATCTCTAAACATCTTGTGCGTATTCAGTAATGGGCCAAACTACCCGGACAAAGCCGCGGCGCGCGGGATAACTAGCGTTATATTTAGACGCCATAAGTCCAGACTTCATGCATAATGCACCGGACCTACCTCAATGTCGTTTTCAGAGTCGCGAAACGGCCATTATTTAAAGCGCACGTCACGCGTAAGGCAAGCTATACACTAGAGAAAATCGGCAAACTCTGCTATGTTTACTCTCTCTAGAGGCAACAGTCGTCACATTTAAAAACCGGCCAAGTGCGAGTCGGACTCGCGCACGGAGAGTTCCGTACCATTATCCATAAAAGTGGCAAAAAAATCAAGTCTGTTGTACGGGAGCCCCACTTAAATATTTTTTTTATTCCGTTTTTTAGTATTTGTTGTAATATTGGCAACAGAAATACGTCGTCTGTGAAAAGTTCAACTGTCTTACTGTCACGGTTCATGAGATACAGCCTGGTGACAGACGACATTACCCCTTTGGGTACGGAACTTAAAATGTTCCACGGGTACCTTTAAACTGCGGTAGACCCCATTCGTGACATTTCGTAACTTAACGTAACGTAACGTAACATCCAGGGAGGTTTTTTTTTAAATGTGTGAAAGCGGCAAAAGAGCTGGCGGTTCAACTGGTGTTAAGTGATACTCACTCCCCAGACGATACGCGAAAGTTTAATACATGCACTTCTCGCCGATTTTAGTATAGGGGAGAAGGAAGAAAAGAACAACAAAAATGTGCATACAATATCAGGGATATTGACAATTTTGGTTAGTTAAAGGAATAAAACTAAGAGGTACAGCAAATTTGTATTCTTCAAAAGAAATTATTATACTATTCGTATTTTTTCACGGTGGTAGGGCCACGCAGCAGCCTCGGCTGTTGCATGAATGGGCAAGCTCGTCCGGGTAAGTACCACGACCTCGCAGAAGAAAGTGGAAGTATAATACTTTCACATTTCGTCTGGTGAGTAAGGTGGCCGGAGCCCAATTTTCAAAAGGTTGTCAACGCATCTGGAACCGTCGGGTGTAGCAGATGTCCATGGGCGGCGGTATTCACTTAACATAAGGTGAACCGTCTGCTCGTATGGCAACTTTTCACACACATTAAAAAAATGTCTCTTTGTAACACGCTCATGATGAATTATGTTACTTGATTTTGTATGTAACACGACGACAGTTTGCGAGCGGCCTAAACTTGCAACATGCCTGAAGGACATTCGTGGTACCCTTGAATCGCCTATTGCTCTGTATTCATTGATATAACGACCGCCAATGCGATGTGTTCACGCCAGCCCCCAGCAGTGGGCTGGCAGGGTCCGCTGCGTCGACAATCGACATGATTCTACGCCGTAGCACATACCGATGTACGCCGGCGTTTTCATTACGAGAACGTGAGATAACAAATATATATTACTGTGATTAGTGCCGGATTAACCACGTAGCAAGTGTAATAATTGCTACGGGCCCCGCTCCTATTTAAATCCACTAATCTCTGCCTAAGAGTGTTTTTTTTGAGTGAAACTTATTAAGATGTAGTATGTTGAATTTACTTGATGGCACAGAAACGTGTGAAACGTTACAACTTTACGTGTAGAATTTCACTCGGCCCGATAATCAGCTGTACAAAAAGTTTTCACTTGTCAGTTTCTTAAAAAAAAATATTCTAAATTGTCAGGAAATGTCATCGGTTTTTTTTACTTGTCAGAGCCTAGCAAGGCCTATAGTAATCGACTAGACTAATTACGCACAAAATTGATGGAAAATAAACGCATTGAGTATTGAATTGTTTTTTTTACCACTTTACACTTAAGAACGTTATAGTGGACGTATTAAACTTTTGCCTTTCGTGTGTGGGATGAGGTAACCGGTGTCACTATTTAATGATTGTCAACGCTGCCATCGGATGTTGTATATGATTGTAGAGGATGCTGAGACATTACTGAACATCATCAAAAAATGAAACGATAAACCGAACTCAAAATAATAACTACCCCTCTATTTTTGGAACGAAGTTCCTTATATTCTCACTTGTACTGAAACACCCATCTGACGGGTGCATTAAATGACATTATCTGCTTATTACTACTAACATTAGAATTTACCGTTTTACTAACAGTACCCGGAGGACCGAGCTTTGCTCGGTTTGTTTTTTTTTCGTAAATCGTGTGTTTTAGAAATTACATTTAGATACAAATTACTGAGTAATGAAATATGCATAATATTTTTCGATCTTACCGACGTAATAATAAGAAAATATGAACTGATGTTTTTCACAAAAGAAAGCACTTTAAAAAAAAGGGAAAAAAATAACAAAATAACAAATCGACAAAAAATTAAAAATAAAGAAAGCATAAGAAGGAATCGAAAAAAAAGTAAAAAAATAAATGTGTAAATGATCGTGACACGAACCACGGCCTTCTGTTTCGGGGCCGCCCGATTACCGTCCGAGCTATTATAAAATTTTTTTTGCGGCGTAATTTACCGTCGTATTCGAATGATATTTTTCATTCCCTGAAAACAGGGATAAAAGGACATTTTCTAATGAAACCTAGCTAGATCGATTTTTCGCGCCGAATTATGGTCATGCAGTTATGTGGTTTCGATATGAAAATACATACAGAGAGATGAGATAGATGAAATGATAGAGAGAGAAGATGAGATACGAGATATGTGGTTGAGAGATGAATAAATTTATTCAACAAAATTGAAAAGTAACCATAACCTGGTTACGCCGAATGATTTATACGACCTAGTTGATAGGACGCGTATGTCCACGTGAATGACTTCATTAAAGTGACACTTTGTTTTGGTCGTTTTAGAATAATTATGACTGTCTTTGAGATTCTATTGTTGTACGACTTATATGGTATGTTATTGTTTTGCCAGTAAATGTTCATAACATATTATTAGGTATTATTAAGACTAGACTAGAAGAGAAGTCGGAGTATTAAAATGGTCTCCATCTTAATCAATTTTAAAATCTTTACTACAATGTTGTTTATTGACAATTAGGGGTTTACTTGACATTATCATCGATTTCTTTTTTTTTATGGAAAAAAGGGCAAATCAGCATGAGGCTCAATTGTTGGTAAATGATTACCGCCGCCACACCCGAGGGCTTACAAATGCGTTGGCGGCCTTTTAGAAGAGAGTATGCTCTCTTCTTGAAGGTTCTCAGGCGGTAACGGTAAGAAACATAAAAATCGTATAGTGTGGTGTAGTGTTGTCTTATCGTCCCTTTCCTATAAATTTTAATGTTTCATCTTCAAGTGCACAGATTAGCACTATAAAAAAACTTTAATATGTTGGATTTTAAAGCTAGCCAGTGACGCCCAACTGACCAATGTAATTATTAATTAGAAGTGCTGACATCTCGTGTTCTCAGCTGTGAAGGAAAACGTCGTGAGGAAAACTCCAAATTTTCGGAAAAATACCAAAAATAAATAAATGAAAAGATAGTTCGAAGATAGGAGCCGTGATAGCTGTGTCCGGGCGCTCGCGCTTAATTAAATATGCCCGGTGCCGGCACCAATTAAATTGTTAATTTTAAGTGCTGAATTTTTACGTCCTCAGCGGTGAAGGAAATAATAAATAAAAAAAAAACTTCTAAGATATGTGAAGTCCGCCAATCCGCAGTGGGGCCGCGTGGTGGACTATGCCCTGATACCCTCTGTACAGAGGAGGAATTTGCCCAGCAGTGGGACATGTACCGGCTGATATTTTATTTGGAAGATACGTGAAGCCCGCCAATCCACGTGCGGTAGGGCGGTGGACCATGCCCTAATATCCTTTGTACAGAGGCCTTTGCCCAGCAGTGGGACATAATTATAGGACAGGGTTATTTTTCAGAAGACGAAGACAATGTTAATTGAGCATTCCATAATTCAAAAAAAATATTAACATTTTATTTTGATAAGAAATAACCAGAAAAATATCAATTTAAAGTTAAACATTGTTTATCCCGTTAAGAGTGGTCACCCTATTGATAAGCGGTTTAGTAATTATGCGTTCAGCGAACGGTTTTTGTGCTCGTGAATAGGTAATTGCACTGAGACAAGAATTTCTAGTAGGGTGTCCATAATGTTTGAAAAAAAAATGAGGTCACAAGTACGTACCAGATACAGATTTAGAATCAAACTCTGCATAATATGCTCTGTTGATATGACCGTCGTCTATAAAATCACCATGTTTAGGCTATTACTTTTCTTTATACATCAACCGCAGTTTACCGTTTTTAGTCGGTTCCCCGACTAGGTACGAAGACTGGGAAAAATATGAGAATATTATCTCCGCGGTTTTTGCGAGGGGATATTATGTAGGGGGGAGAAGGGTAAAGATAGTAAAACTATGGACGGATATTATGGTGTAAATAATGAAACTATCGACAACAGGCTTATAAACTGGTTTAATTTGAAAGCGTCAAGCGTGGTTAAATGCGGGGTCTGTGCCGTGGCTGACCCGGTCACTGATCCAGGTCCTCGGGCTCCTCCTCTTCCTCGTACTCCACCTCGTCGTCGTCCACTTGCGCCTCCTAGAGGGAGAAAGAGATCTCAGAGCTCGGTGGTTCCGACTATGGTGAGCTCGTAAAAAACAGCAGAAAATCCTTAAAAACAACGAGCCAGGGAAACATCCTTACTTCCTCACTAATATTATAAAGGCGAAAGTTTGTATGTATGGATGGATGTTGGTTACTCTTTCACGCAAACTACTGAATGGATTTTAATGAGACTTTACAATTATATAGCTTATACATCAGAATAAGACATGCTATAATTTATACAGCGTGTCGTTACCATCGCGACAATAAATGAACACACATATAGGGGATAACTTTTAAAAGTTGTATTAAACATTTAAATTCTTTAAACATCAATATTTACAGAGTTATTAAATTTTCCAAAACAAAGAATTTTAGAACACCCTTACCTATAAAAGCGTAACGTAAAGTTCATTTGTAAAGGTCACAAAGCATATGAATGGGTTGAATGAATTTAAAAGAGACAAAACATACTGTTAGAAGGAGAGGCTTGTAATGCGACGCTGTGGCGCGAGTTGTATAGGAATGTTACAAATTTTGTTACTTTTTTACTTAATTAGTTTGTTTGAAAAATATTCTTTTTTAATTATGGATTTTGTTTAACGTTAATATTTTTTTATGATTATTGGCAAGTAGCGTTAGACGTGTGTTCATTTATTGTCGCGATGGTAACGACACGCTGTATACATATTTTATGTTTATCTGTCTATCTGTCTGAACGTTACGCCTTCAGACTATTCTACGCAGACGTAGTCGCGGGCAGCAGCTGGTATTGAATAAAGATACTTTGACTTTCAATTTGACTTATTTCAAAGTTGAATTTTAATTCCGTTGGCTCACCTGGTACTGCTGGTACTCGGAGATCAGATCGCTCATGTTGCTCGCGGCTTCAGTGAACTCCATCTCGTCCATACCCTCGCCGGTGTACCAATGGAGGAAGGCCTGGTTGTGTCAATTTGTTTTTTTTTTAAAACATTGCCCACTTTAGGATAGCATTATCCTGTGTTGTAAGGACGTTTTTACAAACATACATTTCACGTGGACGAAAACCCAGGTGCGAAATAACTGTCCGTGGGCCGCACAAATAGTTGTCCCTTGTGGGAATCGAACCCACGACCCCCGACGCCGAAGCCAATATACCTTGGCAACTGCGCCGCGGAGTCATCAAGAGCCCGAATTATACACAAATACGAGGTAGATATGACACACCGACAGGGAGGCTTATCTAAGTGTATCCATTTTTTTTTTTAAATTAAATTCTAAACATAAATAATGCTATATAAAAATGATAAATATTTAAAATCACTCGTAAGTGATTAATTACATTAATTTGAACTTATCTCAAAAAGTGCGTGATATAAACGCAACTCATTAATTTTACGCGCGATCATTCATAACTAACACGCACACAAGTTTGTTTGTGTGCGTGAACAGTAAGATTTAGGTATTTATGAATGACTACCGCATTGTCCACAAGTTCTGTTTTTTAGGGAATAGAATGGCAATTTTTTTGAAAAAAAAAAAGTTTATTTTTATTTCAATAAACGATTATACTACCGAGTCTGAACCTCCTGTGTAAATTTGGGCACCTTTAAAAAAGTCTGGCTGTATATCATCTGTCACATTAAATTATATATGTATTTCATGCGGGGCCTAATATGCCCCTTAGAGATGAGAGCAGCGCCCCACTTGGCGCCGAAAGAGCCCCATATAGACTTTGGCGCCTAGCCGTTTCCCCTTCTCCCACCTTCCTCCTGAACATCGCGGAGAACTGCTCCAGTATCCTCTTGAACACCTCCTGGATGGCCGTGGTGTTGCCCATGAAGGTGGCGGACATCTTCAGGCCGCGGGGGGGCACGTCGCAGACGGACACCTTCAGGTTGTTCGGGATCCACTCCACGAAGTAGCTGAGGGGTTGGAGGCGAGATGGTTAATGGACTAAGTTGTTACACGTCTTTTTTTTATGCGAAAAGTTGTCAAACGAGCAGACGGTTCACCTGATGTTAAGTGAATACCGCCGCCCATGGACATCTGCCACACCCGAGGGTTACAGATGCGTTGACAACCTTTTTGGACTCCGGCTACCTCACCCACCAGACGAAACGCGAAAGTATTTGTCATACTTCTGTGAGGTCGTGGTACTTACCCGGACGGGCCTGCCCATTCGTGCAACAGCCGAGGCTGCTGCGTGGCCCTACCACGTCTTGGTGTCGTAGTTAACCCGGGCTACCGTCAATTTCGCCTTATTCTACGTTTGAAGAAAAAACGACACCAACAATAGAATAAAGGTATTTAATACATCGAAAGTTTTATTACAACGCGTTATCTAGTTAAATGAAGTTTATTTAAATATCGCAAAATAAATATGGTCACAGTTGTCAGTCACGCCAACACACGTAGATGTCTGGCTAACACCAGGGTGTCGGTTTTTCGTGACGGCGTGCGCGCACCGTCCCTAACGCGCCAAAAGAGGTATAACTTCGGAAACAACGGCACGGTACCTGGAGTTCTTGTTCTGTATCGCCATCACCTGGTCGTCCACCTCGCGCATGGACATCCTGCCCCGGAACATGGTGGCCACGGTGAGGTAGCGCCCGTGGCGGGGGTCGCATGCGGTCATCATGTTGCCCGGGTTGAACATCTGTGGCAGTAGCGTGTAGATGTACTAATGTACTTCGACTTTTCGAAAAAGTGGGTACTGGCCACTCGTAATTCAGTTCCTCTTTTTCGACTTTACGAAAAAGGGGGTACTGGCCTATTGTGATCCAGTTCCTCTTTTCGATAAACTTCGAAAAAGTGGGTACTGGCCACTCGTAATTCAGTTTCTCTTTTTCGACTTTACGAAAAAGGGGGTACTGGCCTATTGTGATCCAGTTCCTCTTTTCGACAAACTTCGAAAAAGTGGGTACTGGCCACTCGTAATTCAGTTCCTCTTTTTCGGCTTTTCGAAAAAGGGCGTACTGGTAACTGGCGTGTCAATACTCCTTTCGACCGACTTGGAAAAAGGGGGAGATTATCTATTCGATTGGGTTTTTTTATGTTAGTCAAGCCGTTGAAATGTATGGAATTAAATAAATTGCATTTTCGATATGCTTCTTTGCAATCTTAATTCGAAAAGCCATAATTGATTTAGTCAAGTATTTTAAATAAATAATTTTTGTCGTTGTCACTGTGATTTTCCCGGAATAATCGTTTAAGAATTGATGGCTTAAAACCAAAACAGACGTATGCGCAACTGAAATTATATTTTAACTATTATTAAATTAAATAATCATCATCATTTCAGCCCGCTAAAGTCCACTGCTGAACATAGGGGAGGCCATAGCCTGCCGCGAAGTACGATCTTGAGCCACTTGCATCTATTGACAAATTAATAAAAATTAAAAAACTAAATCAAATGAAATTGAACGAGAATTGTTCATCAAAACGAAATAAAGGCACTTTAACAATAAAAGAAACGTATATTACAAATCGGCAAGCATAAGTGAATATTTAAAACAATTATAAATTTGTAATGGGAGGGAGGCGATTAAATTGGTTTTTAACTACTTTTTTTTATAATATTTTTTTAGGTCCCTTTGTATTTCAATTATCATACAGTGTTCGTACATGATTTTTTCATCCTTATTTCTCGTTTCTCCGTCTTTTTTATAAACAGTTAAAATCTGCTTTGTTCCTCAAGTAATACGAAAACGTTGCTTCTTTTAATATATCTGGGAGCAACACTTTTCGGATCCAGGGTCGACTAATCATGGAAATGTCTTAATCGATAATTAAAAATTAAAATCTTAATTAAATAATAATTTTGAACTAACGATTTATTACAACGTCAAAATCCGAAATATCACAATAAAATGGGACTTAAATGGAAACACCAGAAACCTCTAATACCCGCAGTATTACTTGAAGAATTATAAAGAATTTAAAAAAAAAAAAAGAAATTTGTTAAAGCGACATCTGTTGGCGGATAGTTTTATCTAACACGACTCACCTGACTCATAAGTTCCGGCACAGTTTGGGCGCGGAAACTGAGGGCGTTTCTCGCAGTCAGCGGCGCGAAACCTACGGAGAGTTTTGAAAACATTCAACAATAACACAAAATCCATCGTAAAAGCAATGCTAAACGAAATATTTGTAACGAAATGCAGTGGAAAGGAAACTAATACTGACAATTATGCCACATAGGAATCTAACATGTATGTCCTTAAAATATCGTATCTTGGAACAATCGTAACCAATTATTTAGAAGGAAAATTAACTTGCTTAACCAGTGTTTACATTCTATAATCAGCGCGACATATAATAGTTGTAGTCAAATGCGTAGAGCCGATAACATTTAAAAACGTCAGGTAGACCGAATTCATTAAGGAGGGCAAATATATGTTTCTCGAATTACGATAGCGATCATTAGTTTTAAATTTAATTTAACGGAAAAATCTTGTCGATCCTGCGCCGGCCAAGGTCTATCCAAATGCCGCTAGATGGGGCTGGTGTCTAGATTTTATCGATCCGGGGACCTGGCATGAAGAAGTGCAGCCGCGGGAACGGCACCATGTTGACGGCCAGCTTCCTCAGGTCCGCGTTCAGCTGCCCGGGGAAGCGGAGGCAGGTGGTGATCCCGGACATGGTGAGCTGGAAGGGATTTCGTCCATAAAGAAACGTCCATCTCGACCACCAACCCGCGATCGTGTGAGAAGGTAAACGAGCTGGCGGTTCGCCTGATGTTAAGATGTAATAACCGCCGCCGTTTGAAATTTGCCAATCCCGTAGGGTTGCAGACGCGTTGCCACCTTTTACTAGAGCCTGGGCTACCTCGCGGAAACGCGCTAAACGCGGAAGTATACCACTTTCACTTCACGCTGATCTTCTGCGACTAGGTCTGTTGCGTGGCCCTAAAATACTCTTAGGTACGCACTAACTAGCTCAGTGAAAGGTCATTAATTTTCTCCCTCGACGCATTTAGATAAAAGTGTAGAGATGTATATATGCTTTTCTGTACAGAGGGTATTAGGACATAGTCATCCACGCGACCCCACTGCGGATTGTCGGACACGTATCTTCGAAAGGTTTTTGTTATCGTTTCGGAGGTATGCAATTTTTACTTACGATGTTTTCCCTCCCCGCCGAGCATGTGATAAGTCAGCACATAAAATGAAGAATTTTATTGGTGCCATCACCGTTATTTGAACTCAGGTTGCTCGGAGCATATTGAATTAAAAGCGAGCGCCCGAACACTGGGTTATGACGGCTCTTAACTGCGACATTATTTAATAAATGGATAGACAATTGGTGGATGAAATAACTATTTATTTATTCAGCTCCAGTACGAAGGGAGAAGTAAAAATGTTAACAATTGCAATTAAAGTAAGTGCGACTAAAAATGTGTTGTTATATACTCAGCACAATATATGATCTTAACAATATGACTAGAAAAGTAAGCGAAACAAAAGACCGATTATTATCAATCCTTTTTTTTTTTCTGATTTACCTGTTCTGATACACTCAGAACAGGTAAAGCTGCTTTGTGAATAATTAGGGTGAATAAGTCTCGATACTATCTCTATCTCTGTCCCACCAGAGGCCCCTGTAAAAGACCTATCTGTAAGTCTTGAGACTATCTCCATCTTTGTCGCACCGGAATCCCCGATCGCCGCGCCCCCAGAGTTGCTAGACCTGTAAAAAAATCTGTTGGGTAGAGGGGCCACTCACAGATATCAGGTGGTTGAGGTCCCCGTAGCTGGGGTTGGCCAGTCTGAGGGTACGGAAACAGATGTTGTAGAGGGCTTCGTTGTCGATGCATATCGTCATGTCCGTGTTCTCCACCAGCTGGTGGACGGAGAGCGTGGCGTTGTACGGCTCCAAGACCACCTCGCTCACCTGCAGAAAGAAAGAAGGAAAGAAAGAAAGAAACATATTTTTATTTGTTAAAACATGGTACAATATAGCTCTTAAAAGTTGTAACGTTTTCTGGTGTACAAATATTACATTTTATTACATTTATTATTATGATTGAATTATAGACAGACAGATAGAACGGCCAACAATAAGCTGTATATTGGGCCCTTTTTTGGATGCTAGTATTTTGAAGTTATATGGCACGTTTGGAAAAGAGCTATGAGAGTAAGTTTAAAATATGCGCGCATACCGACAGCCAAAAAGCGACATGATTAAGTTGATTGCAAGTCAATGGCAGGGCATGGTAATACCATATTCATGATATTACCATGGAAACCAATAACAACTCTAATGTTTACCTATAGTGCCAAGTAATTTAATTAAAACGTACTAAATTTCATTTAATGTCTTTTTCACAAACAAAGAGTGGCACAGGGGATAATTCTTTTAGTTATTTTTCTTTTGTTACGCTGAAGAAGTTTAACTTCTTACTGCATACATACATAAGTACACACATACTTTTTTATGTGAAAAGAACAAACGAGTAGACAAACAACATCTACAATAGCTGAGGCAATTGGGTGACGTACTGAACCTGTCTATTGCACCGAGGGCATGGGTTCAATACCCACTACTGAAAAATATTGTGTGATGAACGTGTTCTTCTAGTGACTGGGTGTTTTCTTACAAACACCCAGTGCATATCTATAATATGTATTTACAAAAAAAAAAAGAGTATCTTCGAGTATGTTTTGCAGTTACCTAATAACCAATAAAATAGTTATTGCAGTTGCCAATCTATAAATCTACCTAGCCCCGGGAACCTTACTTACCAGACAAAAGGCAAAAGTAAAATTTCCACTTCACGAAGGTCTTCTGAGGTGGTACTTACCCGGAAGGACCTGGCAAATCGTGCAATATCTAACAACGTCGCGTGGCCCTACTAGTCTAATGATAGTTTATGTGAATAAAGGTTAGCGATATAATGCCATTTAATAACAATTTGTTCGATTTAAAGAGAGCGATATAGCGCCGACTATTGACAATTAATTCTAATTAAATGTAGCGATATACCGCCATCTTTTGTTAATTAGTTGAACTAGAGTTAGCTATATAGCTCTATCTATTAACAACTAGTAGAATTAAATACAGGTATATAGCTCCATCTGCTGACAACTAGTAGAATTAAATATAGGGATATACCGCCCTCTATTGACAATTAGCTAGAATTAAGGATAGCTGTATATCGCCCTCTATTGAAAATTTGTTGGAATTTAAGCTAATTACACCGAAAACGGCATTCTCTCTCCAAGTCCAGCGTTACCTTCGGTGATGGCAAGACGCTGAAGGTGGTCATGATCCTGTCGGGGTACTCCTCCCTGATCTTGCTGAGCAGCAGCGTGCCCAGGCCGGAGCCGGTGCCGCCGCCCAGCGAGTGGGCCAGCTGGAAACCTGGCAAGAAGCAGACGCATTTATTAAGAGTGAGTCAAACGGAAAATCAATGTAGGTAAGATACGTTGAGGTTTTCGTCGGTATGGCAATGGCTCGTGGCTTTCTTACCAGAGATTCTAAAGGTTATATAAGGACAGGTCTAGTTTAGTGAACCGGTGGGTAGTTCCTTGACTTCATTAAGAGCTTAAAATAAGCCCATGTTGGATAAAGAAATTTTGACTTTAGACTGTGAAAGCGTCCGGTAGTCGCGGGTTCGATTCGCGCAGCAGCAAAAGTTGCACATTTCAATATTTCATCTTAAGTCCACATTGGCATTGGAAAATTTTAAATTTTAGACACATAGTGATCAATCTGAAGATGCGCGCTTCTATGGTTTTCGTTCTACGGTAGACATCAAGGTCACTCTCGAGATTGTATTAGAGTTGCCCAAGTCTTCAGGGCTTATTTTTTTTTCAGGCAAGCTGGCAGTTTACCTGATGTTAAGTGCTAACTACCCCCATGAACACTTGCAACACCCGTCGGGTTGCAGATGCGTTGCCACCTTTAATAAAGTGGCTTGCGTTAGGGTTCCCAATAGCTTCAGGAATTTATAGCTTAGATTAGGGTTGCCAATATTTTCAGGTGTCCGTAGCTTTAATTAGGGTTGCCAATATCTTCAGGTGTCCGTAGCTTGCATTAGGGTTGCCAATATCTTCAGGTGTCCGTAGTATAAATTATTGCAGTCTTTAGGGTCCATAACTTGCATTAGGGTTGCCAATTTCTTCGAGCGTCCGTAGCCTACATCTTAAGGGCATTGGAAAATTTTAAATTTGTTTGCCAACCACTCTCGAGTTGCAAGCTGGCAGTTTACCTGATGTTAAGTTGCTAATTTACCCTTGAAGGGTTGCAACACCCGTCGGGTTGCAATATGCGTTTCAGGTGCCGTTAGGGTTCCCAATAGCTTCAGCTTAGCTTAGATTAGGGTTGCCAATATTTTCAGGTGTCCGTAGCTTTAATTAGGGTTGCCAATATCTTCAGGTGTCCGTAGCTTGCATTAGGGTTGCCAATATCTTCAGGTGTCCGTAGTATAAATTACGGTTGCCAGTCTTTAGGTGTCCATAACTTGCATTAGGGTTGCCAATTTCTTCGAGCGTCCGTAGCCTACATTAGGGTTGCCGATGGCATCGTTTCTCCTGTCGGTTTATACGCACCCTGGAGGCAGTCGCAGCCCTCGGCCTCCTTCCTGACCACGTCCAGGACGGAGTCCACGAGCTCGGCGCCCTCGGTGTAGTGGCCCTTCGCCCAGTTGTTACCTGGAAAGGAATAAATGTTTTCAAGGAATAAATGTGTTAGGACACACATTTTAACACAACGTTCTCTAGTCCCAAACTAAGCAACGCTTGTACTATGGCTACTAGATAACTGGTAAACATACTTAAACATACTTTTCTTTTGTAACTAAATACATATTAGCTATACATATATAAACACCCAGACACTGGAAAAACACTATGTTCATCGCAAAATACTTTTCCAGTAGTGGGGATCGAACCCACACCCTCTGACGCAGGAGACAGGTACACTACCCACTACGCCATTCTTTCACATAGACCCTTGCGCATTCTTATGAATCGTCAAATTTTACATAAAAAAATTATACATAGAGGTTCGTAAGGTACCACCTGTTCGGAAAGCAGTTTCTGTCGAGAAGAAACCGGCAAGAAACTCAACAGTTGCTCTTTTTTTTAAAGGTCAGCTTACAATATAATGTTACAGGTATAATAGTCTTGTTTTAGCCTACGTGAGTATATACAGTATTAACCCCACACACTGACGTCGTCAAGATATTCAGCAATATTATAATATGCTTTAGCCATAAGTTTACTTTTAATTTTTCATCATATACAGCGTGTCGTTACAATCGCGACAATAAATGAACACATATATAGAGGATAACTTTTTAAATTGTATTAAACATTTGAATTCTTTAAACATCAATATTTATAGAGTTATTAAATTTTCCAAAACAAACAATTTTAGAACAGCCTTACGTATAAAACTGTAACGTAAAGTTCATTTTTAAAGGTCACAAAGCATATGAATGGGTTGAATGAATTTAAAAGATACAAAACATACTGTTAGACAGAGAGGCTTGTAATAAGGCGCTGTGGCAACGAATGAGAAAGTCTCTGAATGTATGAATCAGTCAGTTGTAGTTGTATAGAATGTTACAAATTTTATTTCTTTTTTACTTAATTAGTTATTTTGAAAAATAAACTTTTTTAATTATGGATTTTTTTTAACGTTTTGTATTTTTTTATGATTACTGGCAAGTAGCGTTAGACGTGTGTTCATTTATTGTCGCGGTTGTAACGACACGCTGACTGTAGACAGTATATACATAGACAGGGTCTCACCTGCGCCGCTGCGTCCGAACACGAAGTTGTCCGGCCGGAATAGGCCGCCGTAGGGTCCGGACCTCACGGCGTCCATAGTCCCCGGTTCGAGGTCCACGAGCACCGCGCGGGGCACATACCGCCCTGGGGAAAGGTCACCGCACTGCTCAGTAATAGGTACGGAACATAGTACGGCAAATTGGAAAAAAAGTCTGGGAAATTTATTATTATTATTTTTTTTAATGCTAATCTCTGCATTTAAGATTAAACATTAACATTTATAGAAAAAGTACGAAAAGATTGTCGCCGCTGTGGGAATCGAGCCCACGTCTTCGGCGTTCGCGGCCTGTCGCTTTAGCCACTGAGCTAAACGGCTAATTGCCACACCTCTCGTTCGTATTATCGTTGTAAAACGATATTCGAAATTGTTTGTATGCTGGAAAAGCTATAACAATGGATGCGCCATACATTGCTTCAAATGCTAAAAAAACCAATGTAGATAAAAGACGTTAAGATTCAATCAGCCGTTTAGTATAGTGGCTAAAGCGTCAGGCCGCGAACGCCGAAGACGTGGGCTCGATTCCCACAGCGTCGACAATCTTTTCGTACTTTTTCTACAAATTAAAAAAAAAGCTGGGGTCAATAAGGTGACAAGTGACGAGTTTGTCATTACCAGAGGATGCCTCTGTGTAGTACACGTTGATCCTCTCGACCTGCATGGGGTTCTCGCCGTTGTAGTGACCCACGGGGTCCACGCCATGCTCGTCGGATATTATCTCCCAGAACTGGAAGAGAAAAGTGCATTTTTATTGACAATAAACCGGCCATGTGCGAGTCGGGTTCGCGCGCAGGGTTCGATTATCTGTAAAAACTGCAAATCACATCTGCAACAGGCATGGGAGCCCCCTTATATATTTTTTATTGTTTTTTAGTATTTGTTGCTACAGCGGCTATAGAAATCGATCATCTGTGAAAAATTCAACTGTCTAACTATCACGACTCATGAAATTCAGCCTGGTGACAGAGGGACAGACAGACAGACAGACAGCGGAGTCTTACTGATAGGTTCAATTAAATAACATTGAATAATGGGTAAATGTCAAATGGTTATACCGCGAATTGGATGAAGTCGATTAAAAGCAAGTTAACTCTGATAATTTTTTTTAATAGAAGTATAACTTCAAAAATTTACAATCGAATTGAGAAAATCCGTGTTTGAATAAAAGTTAGAGAATAAGAGAACAAAGTCCGCCAATCCACAAAGTCCGCTAATCCGCAAAGTCCGCGAATCCGCAAAGTCCGCGAATCCGCAAAGTCCGCGAATCCGCAGTCCGCAATGGCGCGTGGTGGACCACACCCTAATAACCTCTGTATAGAGCAAACCTTTGCCCAGCTGTGGGGCATATATAGGTGTTGTTTCGTGTACCTATGTTACTTCACTTTGTTTTTTTAATGACGCATATAACTTCCACATACAACGTTCATTATTATTATCACTACATAGTATAAAACAAAGTCGTCGCGCTGTCAGTCTGTCCCTATGTATGCTTAATCTTTAAAACGACGTAACGGATCTTGATGCGGATTTTTTTTTACTAGATACGAGTGATTCAAGAGGAAGGTTTATATGTTTCATACATTGCACCCGTGCGAAGCCGGGGCGGATCGCTAGTTTACATAAAGGGCTAGTTTAAATAAAGGGCTCTGGCCTCGGTATCGACTGCGTGGTTGCTTCGGAAATTAAATCATATATACGCGTTAAAACGTCAACACCTATTTCCGTCAGTACTCTATTTCAATCGAGCTGTTATGCCGTCTTCATTCCAGATTGCCTTGAAGTCCTTTCAGTTACGTCTTGAAAAGGGAACAGGCTTAATGATAACAGATGCGGATTTACGAAGCAGACTTGTTTTGCACAGTTTAGGATTGTGCAAAACAAGTCTGCTAGTGTTGTCGCATGTGAAAACCGAAAAAAAGTGCAAGAGTTGTCGCATGTAAAAGCCGAAAAAGTCATACAAATTAAATGAAATCAAATCATTTATTCATCGAATTCGGAAACGTACAGTTCATCAATGAATAGTCTTTTTTTTTAAGTCTTCTAACGTTTACTAATGAGGTTCCTCTAACGGAGAAATTTGTCATTTTCTTTTCTTCAAAACATTAAAATATTAAATACTAGCTGCTGCCCGCGACTACGTCTGTGTAGAATAGGCTGTAAGACAGATATACATAAAAATATGTTTATAAATTATAGCCTATGTGTTATTCTGATGTATAAGCTATATTATTGTAGTTTCATTAAAATCCATTTAATAGTATTTGCGTAAAAGAGTAACAAACATCCATCCATACATACAAACTTTCGCCTTTATAATATTAGTAAGGATACTTCTTTTTTTAAACAGCTTGGGAGCGATCTTAGAACTCATTATTATCATTAACGTATTAATTTATATTATACTATGTCCTTTTTAATACCTCTAAGAATATGTGTACAAAGTTTCATGATAATATGTTGAGCAGTTTTGGCATGAAAGCGTAACAGACAAACTTACATTCACATTGACAATATTAGTAGGGATTTGTCATTTGAAGTGAACTCTCTTTTCGAAGAGTTCATCATTAATTAGCCTTAAACGTCAGACCGCGGTGACAGAAACCGACGACGCCATATTGGACTAATTGTCAACCGACATTTTCTCTTGTGACATTCTCATCTGGGTAAACTCGTAGGGTCACATTGTACGAGAGAGAGTGGTAAACGATGGGCGCGAGCGGTTCGTCTTATGTTTAACAATATCTTCTTTTTAACTCAGCCACCAGACGAAACGAAAGAGTATCCAGACTCCTTAGTATATTCTTTTCATACAAAGATAAGTGACTTTGAATTGCAAAGGTGCCAAAGCGATCGCAGTAAACGTGGGTTGCGGCCGATATCGCTTTCTCGCTCGCACTCAAGAGCCTCGTGGAACGTAATGTCGCGCCATGTTACCCTCGACCGACTTCTGCATCTTTAATGCTACATTAAATTTAAAAGATTACACATTGTCCTCTTGTTAGGCGTTATCCGGTTTGTAAGTATGTTTGAGAAACGTAAATATCGGCGAGCGTCCAAATAAGAATTTATCCGTGGGATATACAGACAAATATGCGGTCATCGAAACCCACTACTAGTTTACATATTTTTTTCAATTATAATGATTTTGTTTATTCTGATTGTTTGTTTTGCTTTTATCGCGTTTCAATCGGATACCTAAACTTATCTATACCTTTCCTGCGTTCATCTGCGTAGATCGAAACAAAAATAAATAATAAAATAATTGACGGTAGCACGAGACTCTGTCATTAAGACGTGAAACAACTCACGCTCGGTTTCTGAAACACTGATCGTAGAAACTAACGAATCAGCTGACAAATGGCTTTTCAAATTTCATTTGAGTTGACAAAGCTTGATCTACGATAATCAATGTTTCAGGAACCGGGCGTTAGTCCCGTGTCGAAACGTCGATAAATCAAAATCAAATGAAAACGCGATAAAATCCCGTAAAACAGTTTTAATTTAGCCACATATAAAAGCTATTCCATTATGTTTAAGTTTGTTCGAATGACGATAATGTGCTGTTACGTTCTCATATGGTCAGGACATGACGCAATTGTTGTGCACCGCATATCGCAAAACAAGTTCAGAGTGACTCATCTCCGAGTCGAGCCGGAAAATAAACAGCTTTTAAGAAGGGTGGGCGTCGACCGAACGAGTTTATGACAACTGTTATTCGACGTCAACGAACAAACTAGTTAGCCGTCAACGGGTAAATTTACAGTAGTTTTTTTTTTTTATGTGAAAGTTGCCAAACGAGCAGACGGTTCACCTGATGGTGAGTGAATACCGCCGCCCATGGACATCTGCTACACCCGAGGGTTACATATGCGTTGACAACCTTTTAAAAATTGGGCTCCGGCTACCTCACTCACCAGACGAAACGCGAAAGTATTCGTCATACTTCCACTTTACGCTGGTCTTCTGTGAGGTCGTGGTACTTACCCGGACGGGCCTGCCCATTCGTGCAACAGCCGAGGCTGCTTCGTGGCCCTACCACCGTGGAACTAGTTAAACCTGTGACTAGCGCATATTCGCGTAGGTACACATTGAAACTGTTGACTATGGTAAAAAATGTCAACGCATTGAGCTTTTGTCTATGAAAATGACATCAAGCTTTTTTCTACACAAAAGTTTAATGTCAAAAGTCAATGCGATTAAATGTATAAAACGAGGCTATCTATTAATTAACCGCATTTCGTTGAGTCATCAAAACACTAGTGGCAGATAACTTACAAATGGCGAATGAAACAGACAACTTGTATTCTTCTCCAATTCAATATTAACTTATCAATGTCAATAATAAGAAAATATGAACTGATGTTTTTCACAAAAGAAAGAACTTTAAAAACTCAACAAAAAAATTAAAATAAAGAAAGTAATGATCTGGATTCGAAAAAAAGTAAAAAAATAAATGTGTAAATGATCGTGACGCGAACCACGGCCTTCTGTTTTGGGGCCGCCCGATTACCGACCGAGCTATTTTGAAATTTTCTCTTGCGGCGAAATTTAACGTCATATCCGAATTATATTTTTCATTCCCTGAAAACAGGGATAAAAGGACATTATCTAAAAATGAAACCTATCTAGATCGATTTTTCGCCCCCGAATCTACGCACATACTAAATTTCATGAAAATCGCTGGAGCCGTTTCCGAGATTCCGATTATATATATATATATATATTATATATATATATATATATATATATATACGATATATATATATATATATATACAAGAATTGCTCGTTTAAAGGATAAGAGATAAGATAAATTAACATTGAAAATTAGCGCCATCTATTAGCCATGATATGAAACTGTCTAATTCAAACAAATCAAAATTGTGAAGTCACAAGCGAGACATGGTTTCAATGGCGAACACTTGAAGGTGAGACAGATGTGCGTTGCGAGAACTAGGTTATATACGACACTAGCGACCCGCCCCGGCTTCGCGCGGGTGCAGTGTATTACACATATAAACCTTCCTCTTGAATCACTATCTAGTAAAAAAAACCGCATCAAGATCCGTTGCGTAGTTTTGAAGATCTAAGCATACATAGGGACAGACAGACAGCGGGACGACTTTGTTTTATACTATGTAGTGATTATTATTTTACTGTTAGATATTTTTATCAATGAAATCATGCCGTATTTAACATCGATATATCCATAGATTAAACTTTTTTCATCTTGATTTGTTAATAACAATTGTAATACTTCATGTTATATCGCACAAATTCGGGTCTTCAACAAGAATGAACACGATTTTGAATTTGTTGTCTAGCATAAACGGCTATCGGGGTCATTGCCCGTAGCAGATCCTTGAGGGCCCATAGTTGCCATCACTCCCGTTTGAGATAACGCAGGCATGTGGCACTTGACCTCATAAAAGCATCACAATCGATGTACATTTAAAAGGCAAAGTCCTGTTATTATCTGTATAGCTGTCCAACAATAAACATGTGAAGACGTGACGCATAAGTTTCTGCTGTTGGAAGAATTTACACTCTTCCAGACAAGTATAATGGTGCCACAGAGCGCATGCTAACTACTGCGAAGTCAAGGTTAACAAAATCGATTTAGATAGTTTTCGACGTAAGGGTTCCGAGATAAGAAGGATTTAATTTCTAACATTTCGACTAAGAAAGACACAAGTTAATTTTTCGAATTATCGTATGAAGAGTCATT